CGTCACTATCACCTATTTTCTCAAAAACAATAAAAATAAAATAATCAAGGAATTGGCGGAACTTTTACCCATAGATGCGATCTTCCTCTGGAACTGCTCAATCGCCGGGACAGCACCCGCTCTAGCGTGCGCACTCAGGCTTCCGCCGCGAGAAGACAGCCAATTGGCACCGTGGCTCCACCGCGGGAGGGATCGGACGGCGGAGTAGAAGCTCAGAGATCGCTGCTGCTGGTGCCGGTAGCTGCCATTCAGAGAAGAAGCCGGGGAAAACTTCGGTGCGGCCGCAGGCGACGGAGAAGCGAGAGCGGAAGAAGAGGAAGACAGCGAAGAGACGTTTCTGGCCCTGGACGCTCTTCGGAGGAGTGAAGAAGCAGCCGAGGCAGAACCGTTTATATACATGACGTCGATCGCTCGCGGCGCATAAACAGACAAAATAACGAAACAGACGATTATGGCAGCAGAGGTGGTGGGGAGAAGATAAGATCTGAATCGGGATTGATTATGGCGGTGGAGGAGATAAGAGAGAGAGGACGAGGCGGAGGGAAGGGAAGAAGAGAAGAACAGGGGCGTGTGGGGAGCGGACGGTAACCTAGGGCTGCGTGCCGCGCTGGAGTAAAAATACTGGTTTTTTCAGACCCCTCTTGCTCTTGCTTGCCGAAATTTTGGAAAGGTCGGAGAATGGTGGGATCAGGGATGATGGGGCAGGGATCCGCTGGGGTCGGATGTAGAAAGAAGGGGAAGGATCAGTCAGTTGGGCCGAATCTAACCCAGACCGGTAAACATTTCAAGGAGTCGGTCTGACCAAGATACCACATTTTTCGGAAATTCACAGATTTAATTGCGGTCCGATTGATTGGGCTGGCCGAGATGGTTGGGTGGAGGGGCAGTGGGGTTGAGCTTACGGTGGAAGCGGAGACAGGGGATGGGTAGGGGTTTTATTTTGCGGGGGGAAGTTTGGCAAGTGGCGTCGCTGTGTTTATTCGCCAATTTGATGGGTGCTCTTTCAAGCTATTGCGAATATTAAGGTGCTGACCGATTGATTCGTCTCCACGTGGCAGGGGAGAAGAGGGAAATTGGAAATTGGGTTTTTCCTCATTTTTTTTTTTATGATCTGAACTGTAAGCAAATTGGCTTTTCGACGCCGTTGAAGGGAGATTTTACTTGCGTCTAATTATCTATTTTTGTTTTGGGTTAATATTTTCGTATGACCTGAACTTTGATCAAAATAAACATCCTGGCCAATCTTTTCGATCTATAACATCCTGACTCGAACTATACATCAAAATAAACAATTTGGCCAAACCCGATGTTTGACCGTTAACTTGGACGGTCAAACGCGTTGACTAATGGTCAACGCGCCACGTCACTGGCAAGTCAGAAGATCTGATAAATATTTAATTTTTCGTTTTTTATTTTTGGTTTAACTAAGGTATTAGATGATTTTTTTAATTTATAATAATTTAAAATTAGGGAATGTGTGGAAAATGTGAATTATTTTAAATATTTTATGCTGACTTGGCAGTGACATGGCGCGTTGACTAACGGTCAACGCATTTGACCGTCCAAGTTAACGGTCAAAAATCGGATATGACCAAATTGTTTATTTTGGTGTATAATTCGGGCCAGGATGTTATAGATCGAAAAGATTGGCCAGAATGTTTATTTTGGTCAAAGTTCAGGCCATACGAAAATATTAACCCTTTTGTTTTTTTGTTTTGGGAGGTGTATAATGCTTAAACCGTCGAAATGGAAGATTCTTTGTTTGATTAACGAAGAGTCCTCCGACCCTATCCCCATTGCATAACAATAAAGAAAAAAGAAATCCAGAACTATTGAATATTAAAAACAATTATTATGGGACTGGGGTAATCATTTCGCATTATTTAACTTTTCCTACCAACATTCCCCCTTTATATGGGTTGGAAAGCAGACTCTCGAGCCACGGAGCGCATATCGAAGGGTCACACACTAGATGTGAAAATCGGTACGATATCGGTGTTCAAATAGCAAATATCGAAATTCCGAATACTAAATTAAATTCTAAAATTAATCAAAATTTCAATCCCTAAATATTTTGGTATCTCAATCGGTACTTCGGTATCTCCAAAAGAAAGATAAAGGAATGTCCAAAAGAAAGACTCACCGTGGCAAGATATGGAATCTGAGACCCAGGCAGCAAGATTTGTAGCGGCAGCAGCAACTTGAGGGAAGGAGTCCGCTAGCATCCGGAATCCATCGATCATGCCAAAAAAGAAACCCACTCCCCTCCCTCGGGATCTATGTTGGCCAGCTTCCAAAACTCACCATACCCCTTCATGATATTAGCCCAAACCGAGCTTGAGAAACCCCGACGGCATCTATCAGTTGCCAGAGGGAACTAGGGTTGGGGTATTTGATATCAATGAGTGAGCGCCACCAACTACCCTATTCAGTAGCAAACCTCCACAACCATTTACTCAACATTGCTTGATTAAAACAAGCAAGATCAACCACTCCAAGCCCACCATTCTTCTTCAAAGCTTTACAAAGATTCCAATTGACTATAGGATTTTTCCTAACTTCTCCCATTCCGCTCCAAATAAAATTCCGCTGCATCTTCTCCATTCTCTCCAACGCACCCACAGGAGCCCTCAGAAGCGAGAAAAAGTAAACAAGTTGACTCGAAAGCACCGCTTTGTTGAGAACCAGCCTGCCACCTAAAGATAAAAATCTACATTTCCATCCACTCAATCACTTCTGCAGATTATCACATATGGGGTCCCAAACCGCAGTAGCATTTGGTTTAGCACCCAAAGGAAAGCCAAGATATTTTGAAGGCTCATTACTCCACTCCAGCCAAACACTGCCACCAGAAAATCAGGATTGGGCACATCACTGAATGTAAACATGATCAACTTATCCAAATTAATACGCAAACCAGTCACGGCTTTAAAACACACACGGGTTGCTAATACATCCAACACCTGCTCATATGAAGCATCACAGAAAATCAAAGTATCGTCAGCAAACAGTAAGTGGGTGACTTTTCCAAGTCTGTCGGATTTGTTCATACAAAACCCTCTGATTTTGCCACAATATCTGATCTTGGATATCATATAGGAGAGGATGTCCATAACTAACGTGAATAGTCCTGGCGACAGAGAATCTCCTTGCCTGAGGCCTTTGGAAGTCGAAAAAGCCCTTCGATTCGCTGTTGACCAGTACCGAAATCAATGGATCACACTTAGTCCCCCTAATCCAATTCTGCCAAGCCACAGGAAAGCCCAAACAATCAAGAGCATTGAACAGGCAATCCCAACTCACATTGTCGAAGGCTTTCTCAATGTCCAGTTTTAGCATCAGCCCCGGTTTCCTGCTTCTATGTCTATTGTCAACAAGTTCAAAGGCAATGAGTCTGGCATCCGCGATATGACAGCCTCTAACCGACGCATGCTGGTTACTGGAAACTAAGTGGGGTAAGACGGTCCCCAACCTGCTATCCAGCACTTTGCTAAAAAGCTTATTGACGCTCCCCATTAGACTAATCAGTATAAGGTCTTTCAAATCTTCAACAACATTCTTTTTTGGAACCAAACAAATGAAGGAGTGCGTAACACATTTAAGAAGAATACTAGTGAATGAAACTCAGAAAACGCGTTCATAACATCAACCTTTATCCAGTGCAAACACTTCTTATAAAACTCCCACGTGAATCCATACGACCCCGGTGCTTTTCCCCCATCACTCTGAACAATACAAGACCAAGCTTCCAACTCCGAGAAAGGGCGAATGATAGAGGATGTCATGGCTTCAGATAGAGTATGCCCACAATACAATCGGGGAAACGGTCGCCTACCATCATCATCCTGTTGCAATTTCTTGTAATACTCCACAATGCTAGTAGCAATGTTATTCGGTCCTTCAATTCACCATTGATCTAGATGCTGTCAATAAGGCTCATTTTCCTCTTGTAATTAGCCACCTTGTGGAAGTACCCACTGTTCATGTCTCCAAGCTTAAGCCAAAGCTCCTTAAGTTTTTGTGGCAAGAGATTTCCAGCATATATAGAACCTTTTGCACTTCTACTTTAAGGCAATCTCTGTTAGACTTCTCCAAATCAGCAATCGAACCATCTTCCTCCTTCTTATCAATCTCCGCAATCTTAGATATGAGATCGTTTATTCTGACATTGATTTCACCAAATACCTCGTTATTCCACACCTTAAGTTTCCCTTTAATATTTTGCAATTGTCTAGCCCATTTGAAGATCAAGCCCTGCCCCTGCGTAGGGAGTGCAACCCAATCAGCCAACGACGAAAAGAACCTATCATCCTTGAGCCACATATTTTCAAACCTCCATGGCCTTTTAACCCTCCTGCCCCCCCCCCCCCCATTTCAATAACAACGGATTATGATCTGAGTCCATACATTCAAGAGCCGAGAGAGAGAAATCAGGAAATGGTTCATAAAAAGATGTTGTGATAAGAGCCCAATCAATGCGTGACAAACAATCTAAGTTTCCACCTCTGCTCCAAGTGAATTTGCATCCACCGAGAGGGACATCTACCAGCACATTATCATCAATGATAGAATTGACGGTGTCTATGAGAACCGATCCATGCCTCGTTCCCCTATAGTCGTCATGACTCCGCACCAGGTTAAAATCCCCCGCAATGCACATCGAAACTGTAATTTGATTGCAAAGAGTACCAAGTTCCTCCAGAAACAACAACTTCTCCTCTCTTTCCTGCGGACCGTACACCACCGCCAAACTCCAAACCTTAAGCGAAGCAATTTCTTGGAACTCAACATTCAGAAAGTACGTACCAGCTCTACTCGAAATAGCTCGGAAGAAATATTGATCCCAATATACAATAATACCACCCGAAATCCCCACCGCATTTTTGGCCTTCCAACCAAAATCTCTGAACCCGCAAATGTTCCTAACTGAGTCACCATCACATTGAGCCCACTTTTTTTCAACAAGACCAACGATCCTCGGATTTTGCCTTTCAATGAACCGCTTTATTCGAACTTTCTTTTCCGCATCGCCCAACCTTCTAACATTTCACACAAAAACTGAAGATTCCATTAGATACCTGATTTGCTGCTGCTGCCACCCTTCCTTTTGCTTTTCCGAGGACTAGATGGAGGCGTATCCAGTGGCCCCAATTGATACTTTTCCATATCGAGCTTAGAACCAGGAGTCCTCAATTTTCGTTGATGCATCTCTTTGGCCTTGGCAATAATTTCCCTCTCCACTGCTTCTTGCCCATCTCCATGATCTAAGTTGACCAATCGCCCAACTTCTAAACTTGCCTTTTCCAAAGTATCAAGATCAAATGGAAACGAATTCGGGCACCAATCACACCCCACACTGTCACCAACACATGAAGCCGACAATAGCTCAATATCCAGGCTCAAATCGAGATCTTCATGGACACGAATTGGGGAAGTGATAAAATCATAATCCCGATCGAGATTCTCCTGGGAATCAGGCACAAATGAAACAAGGCTGGAATAAGACACTCGAATTGGAGATGAGCAGTCGTCTCCTAAGACAATCGGGCTAGAAGAAAAGGGAAGCTGAGGCATAGAATGTAAAGCTTCGCAGGGTGACTCAATCGAAATTTTTGTCCAATCTGGTAATAGGGGAACAACCGCGGACGAGAAAGGGGATGCTAGCTTGATAAAAGAAATGATATCAGGGGTCTGGAGAGTTCGATGAATGGGGTTGAGGCAAAAGTTAAAGAGCAATAGGGCTTGGGGCATCTCAAGTTGGGCCGGTGGTTTTAAGAGAACAAGCCCACTCAAAGTAGCTGGAAAGCCCGTCTCCTTACAGGTGGTAGCCTGCCAGATGGGCCTGCATTTCCAAATCCAGCGGGAATTGGATCTAGATGGAGACCCCTCCTTCAAACCAACCCGCAAGGAAGAGAAAACGTCATTCCCACTGTCCGAGGCTTCTCCAACATGAACAGAGCATGCTCCATGCAGATAGATCAAGAAGGCCCGGAAACCAAACCACGCTCTTCACTTTCCCCTCCAGGCTGGTTGTCTTTCACTCCCCCCCCCCCCCCGAAACTCCACTGGTGGAGTGCCGACTTTTCGATTTCCCACCCCTTTTTCGAGTCCATCGACATTCCTTCCCCGTCAACGTCACCGCCGATGGAACCAGGACCCTAACTTTGAACCACTGTGACCGGAAAACCAGGAGAATCTCTTCCGGAATAGCATCCCATACAGCGTTCCTCGGTGACGAGCTTTGATCGGAGTGTAACATCCAATTCCGGCAAAACTCGTATTTCGATCGCTAGAAAATTTCACGATTTAAAATCAAGCGTTTTGATAGTATTTCGACAAAAATCGGAATATCGAACGATCAGATAATTATCAATTATTCTATAATTATAATATAAGGATAACTATTAGTTATATATAAATATTAACAACACGTGTTGTTGTAAAGGAAAAAGTAAATTACATAAAACAAAACGGCCGATCCGCTGTATGTATATTAAATACAATCATTTATCCTCTCCGTCTCATTATTCTCATTTCCATCCATTTACCCATTTCCATATCGAGAGGAACAGAGAGCACAGAGGCAGCTCGATGAGAAATTCCAAAGCTCAATTCTTGAGCCCTAGTGATCCAAAAATCCCGTAAGTAATGCCTAATCCATTCATTCATCGTAGTTTATCTATTTAGAGCTTTAAAACGAGTTTTTGGTTCAGGAATTTCTTGAATTCTCAATAAGCCAAATTAGGGTTTCGGAGTATCCGGAAGTCGGATTGAGCCCAAATTTCATATACGAGCTATTTGCGGCGAGGTAATTAATCTTCTGGTTCTAATCCATGAATTTTGGCAATTATTTAAGTCGGGGTCCAAAGCGCTGAATTTAGCTCCGGCCAGGGTTTGATGTGTTTTTATCGAGAATTTGACCCGGAGCCTAGAACTAATATTGACGGGGATACTGCAGGACATATTAGGAAGGTCTCGGATTTTAATTCGGGGTTCATTCCTAAAATTGACATTTTAGTACGGGAAGGTTAAACCGGTGTTTGAACGACCAGAACTGGTGAGGGATTAGCACGGCATACCGGGTTTGTCGTATCACGATAATTATATTGATGCTTAGAATTGATCTAGGTGAACTAGAATGGCATGATAAGGGGTGTATGAACTTTTGTGCTATATGTTGAACCCTGGATTGCTGTATGATATTATTGACTTGCCCTAATCGATATGAACCTTGTTTATGCTGATGATTGTGTATATGTTGCAAATTGGGGGCTTGACTGTTAATATGCTTTACGATGGTTCGAGAAGGTGATTAGGTATGATTTTTCATGATTGTTGTATTTGGATGAACAAGTGGGAAAAATATATATATTCCCTGGTGATATTATGATGTTTAAGGAGGATGACTTTCACGAGGGTTTATCTCGAGGAAGTGCAATTATACGACTCCTGATTTACCTATGTTGAGCCCATTATGGCCAGGTCAAGTACATGTGTAAGTAACGAATTATGATTAAGCAAGATGAGATATGAATCATGTATAATGATGCCGAATATGAGTGGTGTGGTCTCACGGTCAACTACATAGTAATTAGGGCTCCCTATGCTATTACTCTATTATGATATGTATGATAGTCACACCTCTCATGTGGTGGTGACTGAAGAATTCTTATGAGATATGACTACACCCATAGTGGTGTGGGGTATGTATGACCACATCCGACGGGATGTTGGGGTATGTATGACTACATCCGACGGGATGTGGGGTATGTTTCCCGGGAGAGTTATTAGCATGGGAGTAGCCAGGCGCCTATGATTAAAACATGATAAGATGCATATGCATAAGTCAAGGTGGTTGAGTCTTTTGCCTATTGGGATATGAGGATGGCAGAGGTCCGATCCTAGTGTTTTGGCTTGATTGTTAGATGTATGATAGGGGTATGCTCTGTTATGAACTCACGATGCTATGGTTATCTCACTCAGCTATGAGCTGACCCTCTTTTATTCTTCTTCTATGCTTATGCTATGTGTAAGCAGATCATCAGCAGCAGTAGATAAGTGTTAGGTGGGAGAGGAGCTAGAGTTGAAGCCAGGATGAGGTATGGTCTTCAACTATTCTGTGCTTGGACTACTACTTGGGATCTTGGCCAGTGATCCACATCTTTTTGTAAAAAAATTTTGAGAACGTTTTTCATGGGCATACTAGCTTCTGATGTAGTGTGAGATATCCACAGGTGTGGAAAGTTGATGATATGTGTATATTTTTGTAATTATGTAAGTTGTGATGATTATGGCTTGTATCAGTATAGTATGCAGTTGTGTAGTATGAAACTGTGACTATGGCTATGAAAGCCAATGCTTATGGTTGTGAGTATACATGTTTGTGATGAATTATTTTGCAGGATAATTTGCAAGAACTGTTAGCCCATTACGCGAGTAATTCATGTCGAAATTTTATTTAGGTAAATTTTGATAATTAATGTAACTCCCGAGATTAATTCCGCTGCAATTGTATGAACAATATGATTAGGCAAAACGTATTGGGTAGGGTGTTACAGTTTGGTATCAGAGCTGGTTTGTTTTCTGCATTATGGGTATGTTACTTTCACTCTTGAGGACTGATCACCCTCAAAAGGGGAGAGAGTACTCCATACTTGTACTTGCACTAAGCTTTTCAGGATTGGGACCAAAGGTGGTGATGTGTTGCATAGTCAGTTGCATATGGTCAAACATGATTTTTAGTATTTGAGGGAATCTTGAAAATTTTATGGTTTAAGAGATTTATGAAAATATGTGGAAATTTTATCTTGTTGTCCAAGTAATGATTTTGAAGAAAGTTTTGTTTCAACCAAGTGAATAACTTGGTTAGACACAAGTGGTGTGTGGATTAAAAGAAAGCCAATGTTTCCTTGTAGTTTGCACAGAAGTACGTTTAGTGTTACTACTAACCGATAGAGAAGCATGGTGGCTAGCTATGCAATACAGTTGATCTTCGACTATGCTAACATGACGAGTTGTTGTGGTATAGTTTTTAATATGGATATGATTCTTAATGAGCTGGTGGCAACCATTTTGTAGGTTGATATAACCCTGAGTTAGTAGCCACCTACTTTACAGGTTAACAATCTTGCTTAATAAGTTATGTTTTGAACTTGCTGATGTGTTTTTGTTGTGATAGCCCAGTATAGGTTTTTGAAACCTAAACATGGGAACTTGAGGTGTTATGTGTTTAGTTATGTAATTCAGATCTCCTAACCTAAGAGTTAGGTAGTAATCTTATGTACGATCGATCATGTTAAGGATAAGTAAGCAGACTTACGGTATGACTCAAGGATAGATTTCGGGGACGAAATCTTTTAAGGAGGGGAGAATTATAACATCCCATTCCGGCAAAACTCGTATTTCGATCTCTAAAAAATTTCACGATTTAAAATCAAGCGTTTTGATAGTATTTCGACAAAAATCGGAATATCGAACGATCAGATAATTATCAATTATTCTATAATTATAATATAAGGATAACTATTAGTTATATATAAATATTAACAACGCGTGTGTTGTAAAGGAAAAAGTTAATTACATAAAAAAAATCGGCCGATCCGCTGTATGTATATTAAATACAATCATTTATCCTCTCCGTCCCATTATTCTCATTTCCATCCATTTCCCCATTTCCATATCGAGAGGAACAAAGAGCACAGAGGCAGCTCGATGAGAAATTTCAAAGCTCAATTCTTGAGCCCTAGTGATCCAAAAATCCCGTAAGTAATGCCTAATCCATTCATTCATCGTAGTTTATCTATTTAGAGCTTTAAAACGAGTTTTTGGTTCAGGAATTTCTTGAATTCTCGATAAGCCAAATTAGGGTTTCGGAGTATCCGGAAGTCGGATTGAGCCCAAATTTCATATACGAGCTATCTGCGGCGAGGTAATTAATCCTCTGGTTCTAATCCATGAATTTTGGCAATTATTTAAGCCGGGGTCCAAACCGCTGAATTTAGCTCCGGCCAGGGTTTGATTTGTTTTTATCGAGAATTTGACCCGGAGCCCAGAACTAATATTAACGGGGATACTGCAGGGCATATTAGGACGGTCTCGGATTTTAATTCGGGGTTCGTTCCTGAAATTGACATTTTAGTACGGGAAGGTTAAACCGGTGTTTGAACGACCAGAACTGGTGAGGGATTAGCACGCCATACCGGGTTTGTGGTATCACGATAATTATATTGATGCTTAGAATTGATCTAGGTGAACTAGAATGGCATGATTAGGGGTGTATGAACTTTTGTGCTATATGTTGAACCCTGGATTGCTGTATGATATTATTGACTTGCCCTAATCGATATGAACCTTGTTTATGCTGATGATTGTGTATATGTTGCAAATTGGGGGTTTGACTGTTAATATGCTTTACGATGGTTTGAGAATGTGATTAGGTATGGTTTTTCATGATAGTTGTATTTGGATGCACAAGTGGGAAAATATATATATTCCCTGGTGATATTATGATGTTTAAGGAGGATGACTTGCACGAGGGTTTATCCCGAGGAAGTGCAATTATACGACTCCTGATTTACCTATGTTGAGCCAATTATGGCCAGGTCAAGTACATGTGTAAGTAACGAATTATGATTAAGCAAGATGAGATATGAATCATGTATAAAGATGCCGAATATGAGTGGTGTGGTCTCACGGTCAACTACATAGTAATTAGGGCTCCCTATGCTATTACTCTATTATGATATGTATGATAGTCACACCTCTCATGTGGTGGTGACTGAAGAATTCTTATGAGATATGACTACACCCATAGTGGTGTGGGGTATGTATGACTACATCCGACGGGATGTGGGGTATGTTTCCCGGGAGAGTTATTAGCATGTGAGTAGCCAGGCGCCTATGATTAAAACATGATAAGATGCATATGCATAAGTCAAGGTGGTTGAGTCTTTTGCCTATTGGGATATGAGGATGACTGAGGTCCGATCCTAGTGTTTTGGCTTGATTGTTAGATGTATGATAGGAGTATGCTCTGTTATGGACTCACGATGCTATGATTATCTCACTCAGCTATGAGCTGACCCTCTTTTATTCTTCTTCTCTGCTTATGCTATGTGTAAGCAGATCATCAGCAGCAGCAGTAGATAAGTGTTAGGTGGGAGAGGAGCTAGAGTTGAAGCCAGGATGAGGTATGGTCTTCAACTATTTTGTGCTTGGACTACTACTTGGGATCTTGGCCAGTGATCCACACCTTTTTGTAAAAATGTTTTGAGAACGTTTTTCATGGGCATACTAGCTTCTGATGTAGTGTGAGATATCCACAGGTGTGGAAAGTTGATGATATGTGTATATTTTTGTAATTATGTCAGTTGTGATGATTATGGCTTGTATCAGTATAGTATGCAGTTGTGTAGTATGAAACTGTGACTATGGCTATGAAAGCCAATGCTTATGGTTGTGAGTATACATGTTTGTGATGAATTATTTTGCAGGATAAGTTGCAAGAACTGTTAGCCCATTACGCGAGTAATTCATGTCGAAATTTTATTTAGGTAAATTTTGATAATTAATGTAACTCCCGAGATTAATTCCGCTGCAATTGTATGAACAATATGATTAGGCAAAACGTATAGGGTAGGGTGTTACACGGAGTCTTCATCCTAATAAGTCAACTCAATATGAAATCCCCTAAACCTGAGTGACTCAGCTCTTTGATCCGAACAACTTGATTGATACTCGGAAAAATAAGAAGCCATCTCCCATCCTCCAGATCTTCAAATCCAAAATTATCATCGATCATCCAATTCCTCTTGGCCCATCGCTAGAATTCCGCCACTGAGTTCTTTGTGATCACTAAGCTTCTTCCCAGCAGACTTAATCTCTCTGCAACTCCTTCCGATCCAACATCAATATACCTACCATGTCTGTTTGTCCTGACAACGCATCTACCAACACCATAGAACTCTCCCCTTTTAACCACCTCGGCGTAAGATATGTCTGGCTTGCAGTCCGTAGCAACTCCAGAGCCTTCGACAACGCCTTCTCTTGGGAATTCTCCGTTGTCAACCGGTCTCTGATATGATGCTCCGTCTTGTAAAAATCTTGCAGTAAAGCAATCACCCTTGCCCATCCGCCTCTGTCTGAACTAGATGGGATAAAAATCTTGAACACTTTCCCACTTTGAACTTGCTCAGAGATTTGCAAGAAGCAACCCTACTAGTTCGTCTTCCTTCCCACATGAATAATTTTGTCCCCTCTCTTTTTGACACACCCGATCGGAAATCGCCAGCCCTTCATCGCAGCCATTTGGATAACACCTTGCAACCACATGAGCTGAGACTCATCCATCACAATAAACCATCGTCTATTTCCTTCTGCAACCTGCAACCTGTACCAGAAGAAGCTTCCTGAACTACCTTTCCTGATCGACACAATCTTCGGACCCATCCACGCCTGCTGGACACACTCCTTCTTTGAGTCGTTACCCCTGCCACATCCCGGTCTCAGATACCTGCACACAGAAGACAAAACCTCACCATCCCTCCCACTATCCTTTGCGCTTACCCTCTTTGAATCTCTTTGGAACCTGCAAACAGACTTGTTGAGCCGCGTGTTCCTACCCTCCTCTTTCTCTAATTTCTCTCATCTCTCCTGTCTTTAGAATCAGCCCTTTTTCCCATCCATGTTCTTGATTGCACTATTAATTAGTCTTGCTGAGTTTTAATCTATCAATAATGGGGATAACTTGATAGAAAACTTGATGAACATGATGAAATTGTCATTATATAAGGTATTTCAAAGCCTATAATTGAAAAAATCTATCAAAACTCAAAAAGTCCAACTGTCATTCTTGTAATTTACCCCTTCCTTTTTTCTCCTATTCTACCTAAATCTTTTTTTTTCCTCCATTAATGTTCATTTTAAAGGGCTTCATGTGATGTCTTGGTGTCTCAATGCTTCCAAGAGGGCAACCAAGAAAAGAAAGCGGGGTTCTCAGAATCTTAATCCTCAAATGCTAAAGTTATTATATAAACTAGTAATCAGCCCGCGCTCCGCGGCGGGTTGGGTTCCAAACTGTGAACCATTGTGGGGCATTTACAATTATATACGTGAAAATCTGTCATGGACAGAAAACTATCACTAATGTAGGTGACAAACTTTAAAACAACAACGAAAAAAAAGATTAAAAGGAACCACTTTCTAGTTGGCAACATGATAGTCTACGCCTTTACTCGTCCTAGTTTGAATGCACTAGTAGTCTACGCTTTTAATCAGGGTGATAAACTTAAAAAAATGAACAACAACTAAGAATCTGCATACCGAGGCAAAAACGTAGAAACAAACAATAAATTTTATATCTATTTAGAAATACTACTATCCAGATCCAGCATACTTTCCACAGAAACAAAAGAGGTGTGACACCATTCCTACATTCTACAGCTTGCTATCAAATCTCCATATAACATCCAAGGATCATGCTAACCACTAACCACATATTTACGTTGCAAAACCTCTGTTACTTTTATCAAACTTTGATTAACTTCCTGAACTTTTAGGACTTCTTCCTGACAGAGATTGGTGAGCTACAATGATGCCTTGCTATGTGCAATACTGTAAAACCCTCGCATCAGATCGCAAGTTCCCATCTAGGCAATCACTTGGTCTTGCTGACTTTCTCCATGAATCCAATGGTGCCTCCTGAATATGAAATCATTCCCGATATCTCCCCTGAAATAATTCATCAACGACAGGGAAAACATAAGTTGCAGCTCTGGATCACCTTCTACTCCTTTCTCAACCTCCCAAACTCGCCATTTAATGCTTCAAGTTCTATTCGATTGAGAAACAGAGATGAGATATACATGGTAGAGAGAGAACAAAAAGTGGTCCAATAAAACCTCAATCGAACGAAACCACACATAAAATGGAGAAAAAAATCATGAGAGATAGAGGGGAAGAGTCACCTGAAACCAGAACTGAACTGTGAATCGTCTTCTGTTAACCCGACTGCAAAACCTTACTGAAACATAGAGAAACAAATTAGGCTTCCAAAACAACCACAATGAGCAAAACAAAAACTCAACGCTAATAAACAGGGTACAGTGAAGACACGGAGAGGAAGATTATGACACGAAGCTTTTTTGGAAACTTGATTATCGACAAAGGCAGTGCGCTTTTATCACCTCACCAGTGAGAAGAAGGCGCATGCAGATGGTGAGATCTTCATCCTGTCAACCCCTTTGTCATCATCAAGGCGCCAATCCCCCGTTTAGATCTGTAAAAATCCATCAAACGATCCCCAATTTCATATGACGGAACACGCCAAACAATACCGACCAAATAACTAAATAGGGACAAGGAGAAGAAATAATCACCATAATCCATTAATAAGCTATGACTTGGATCTTCCCCACACCCTCTTTGATTCATTTTTAAAATCTTATCTTCTGCCTCTCGTCATTGGCGGGTTCTGGGAGATTCCTTAGTCACTCGCAACCACGATCTGGATCTTCCTCGCACCCTCTCTGATTCATTGTTCCAAATCTTGTCTCTCCGTAGATGGATTTCAGCAATGGTGGGTTCTAGGAGATTCTCTTGTCGCTCGCAACAACAACGTAACTGAGATATGAAAGAGAAGAGATGATTACCCTAACCGGCGGGTTATCGACGATTTGAGTCTGCACTGCGCTATCTCCAGATCTCCTCTTCGTCGGAGAGGGACTCCCATAACCGGCGGGTTATCGATGATTACCTGGTCGCTCGCAACGACTTCGGGTCCCATATGAGAGAGAGAGAGAGAGAGAGAGAGAGAGAGAGAGAGAGGAAAGGAAGAGATGAGATGATATGCTGTTGTTGAGAGAAATGAGAGAGAGGTATTGCCAGCATCTTTGCAACGCACAAAGAGAGTGAAATGAGATACCGATGAGCAAAGAAGGGATGGGAGAGAAGGAATGGTGTCTGCAGTGAAATAATAGAGAGGTAGGTAGCTTGTGTGGTGGGAAAATGGTCACTCAACTTCCTTGCGAAGGATCGCAATAATCAAGAAATCCCTTTGCCCTAAACCACAACAGCACTTCTCCCAAAACTTCTCCATCATCACCAGCAAGACAATCCCCTCGCCTTTTCTGCTTTCTTTCTCATCATTGCCCAGTCTGCTCTCTTCCTCAGCGTCGCCCATTCTCCATCACAGAGCATCCATCAGCAGTAGTCTTCCCTCCTCACAGTGGTGAAGTTCCCAAAAATTCTCGGCCAAAGGGAATCAAATGCTATTTGAAGGAGAGAAGGATCGAGAGAGATAAAGAGAGAAGAAGTGAATATGAAGGGGGATTCGAGGGCCACACGATGTCCACAGCAGCAACAGAGGGCAAAACCGCCGGGCCCACTCACAGGCGAGCAGCGAATAAGAAAAGGCGGTCGGGCCCAATCGCAGACCGGGAACAACCCAGAGGAGGGTGAATAGTAATTTTGAGTCTAGATGAATAGGAATTTTGAGTCTATGTGAATAGTAAACTCAATCTTGGTGTATAGGGATCTTGCAAATAACTTGTTCTAATGGCCCATTCATTGCTTTTTATTTTTCCACACTCCTTTTGATATTAAGTCAACACTCAATAATATGGGTCTTCTTCACCCATTGTACATTAATTAGCGTTCTAACCATGGTATCTTGGAATTGTGAAAGCTTGGGTTGGTTTGTGAACGAATCCTAAAATCATATATATACAACGCTACTAGTGAACTTAATTATTACGCTAATTAAAGAAGAAGCTAGCCCTCTAACATGATTAATGTAATAAGTAATAACCAGGAGTCGACATTTTTGTATCAAGGCGAGGTACCCAACTAACGACATTATATCCACTTGAACTAAGATAAATCTGTGATGAAAAGAATAAATTTCGAGCTTGTTGATATTTCAAGTGGGGAACTGACTTCATTTGTTTTTTTTTAGAAAAGATTTCATTTGTGGGTTTATGAAAGTGCATTGAATTTTAGGACAATTGTGGAGTGATGAAAGTGGGGTTAGGGTGATTATTTATTTTTTAGTGGCAACCTCTTTATATATCATTAGATTTCATATTTTCTCTTCTTTTTTAATCTTACGATCAAGATTCTTTTAGGGTAAATTTTCAATGAAAAAGTGACCACACTCGATTATTCTATATAATCTACCCAAACCCTAGTTCTACCCTCCCTCAAGCCAAACCCGCAGCAGTCGCCTCCACAGCTCCGTCGCACTAATCCTGTCGGCTGCCTACACCAGCCCCTCCCCTTGGTCACCCCCGATGACCACCCTCGACGACAACTAGCCTACAGCCAGACATCCTTCCGCCGTCGTACTCGAATCTCTTATCCTCCCTCACCCCTCTTATTCTCATTTCCTTAGTCCCTCCTCCTCCTACCTCCCAAATTTGGTTATTCAGATCCCTCCCTCTCCATACCGGCGACATTGATTTTAACTCCTCCGGCGTTCACGTTCGTTTCCCACCGCAATCGACGTTGATTACAGCTTTGCTTCTGCAGGTAATCTAGAATTGAGTGTTTGCATTGGTAGAGGATTTGCTTTGGTAGCTACCTTGCATTTTGGTAGTGTTTGCATTATGCTTTGATAGTGTTTGCATTATGCTTTGGTGGTTACCTGCATTTTCTTTGGTAGTGTGTGCATTACGCTTTGGTAGTTACCTGCATTTGTGTTGGTTAGATGGAGCATTATGCTTTGGTAGTTATCTGCATTTGGTTTGGTAGTGTTTGCATTATGCTTTGGTAGTTACCTATATTTGTTTTGGTAATGTTTGTATTGATTTATTTATGCAATTATATTGTTTTGATTTCACAGTAGTAGTGGTATTGGTTGTTTTGATATTTGTTTGACTTTTATAATGGTATAGATTATTTATATTGGTAGTTTTCGTGTAATGCTATAGTTTTATTTCTGCAATGATATTGATGTTTTTCAAAATGGTAGTGGTTGTCTAATGGATTGGTAGTGATTTCGTGTTTTTTCTTTTGCAGAAAGATTGAGAAAAATATGGAAAAGTGATCTGGCTAGAGATTACGGAAGTGAGAGAAAGAGAAAGAATTGTAATTAATACATTTTTGTAACTACCTAAACTATAATTTATTATAATTTATTTTTTCATACTCAATTTATCCTTAGTAACCAGTAATCACCTCAACCGCTCTCGATCAAGTACGATAGTCTAACTACAACAAGTTACTAAAGCTGAAATTTCGTTACTGTTGCATAAAAAATTACATTTTGATATCCCAAATTTATTTAAATTACAACTTAGTTACTATAATGTATATTTAACATTTTGATACCTAAATTTAATTAAATTACAACTTAGTTACTATAATGCACATTTTACATTTTTATACCCTAATTTTAATTTTATTATAAAATCATTGAACAAATATGTTTTGGTATCTAAAGTATAAATTTAGTTTGTAACATACAAGATGTTGTATCACTCAAATGTAGCAGAAGATTCGACCATTTTATATTTGCTCATTACGTGAAACATTGAATAAATGATAAAAGAGAGACGACTCTAAAATATTGCAATAGCGAATTTATAAACTCATTTAGTACATTTACTGGGTACTAGACAAACTTCTACTAACTACATGTAACAAAATATGTGACATCTATATAAGCAAGTGTCAATAAATTGCTACGATGAAAAGGGTTGATTGTAGTATTGACGGCCAACTAAAAGAATTGGTCAAAACATTTCCATCATCTACTTCCTTTTCGTTTCATTTTTTACCCGTCTTCCATAACCCTAATTAGTATACTATTTTTATGTATTCTAATCACAACTATGAACGGGTCCATACACTACTCACCAACAATCTAGAGAATTAATAATTGAACCATGAACCACTAACTTTTTGAGCTCAACATCGAGTCCAATTAAAAATAAATATATATATGGATATTACTTATTAGAACGTCGTTATTTTCCACTATGGGATTTGAAAGCGTGAAATTTTAAGCGAGCTTTTCTTTTTCATCCGGGCTAGAATTTTCAACAATTATACATGGAATGTTTGGCAAGATATCTACACATATCTAATAAATAGTTTCATATTTTCTATAAAAAATTAAATAATTATCATCTTAAATACATATAACAAAAAGCCTCATATATGCAAATTACAGTTCGGTACGTAAACTTAATAGATCTTTAGATTTATAACTTAATTTTTTTTGGGCATATAAGTCCTCAAATTATTGATGGAACATTACATTTTAGTACCTAAATTTTTTGTGTATTACATTTTGGTACCTAAACATTTAAAGCTCTACAAATAGGTCTACTTTTTGTATTTGTAATTAAAACACTCTCGAATAAATGGGTAATCCACCCAACTCATAGTCATTTGGATTATGAAAGTAAATATTCATACTCTACCCAAACCCATCTACAAAATTCCAAACCCATATATACGTCACTCATACCCTACCCATAATCAATGGGTCTACTTGGGTTTAGGTAAATATAATTTATTAGCCAAAATTTTCAACTTTGTCTTAAATTGGCTGTTGAACGTCATATATCTCTTCTCACACAATATAACTAACAAAATTATTAACAAAAAATTAATGTTTGTGTAATAATACTAACAAAACACTATAACGGGCCACATAATACATGCCCATAGATCATATCCGCCCCACGACAAGTCGCGACATCGCCACCTAGTTAATCTATCTACAAAATACATAAAGGCAAAACATGGGTTGGAATTCTCCCATTTCAAATTTCGTGACCCGAGAGTGATTCTAGGAAGGTCATTTTTGTCATTGCACCTAGGGATGCAAATGAGCCGAGTTGTTCGCGAGCGGCTCGACGTTCGACTCGGGAAAAGCTTGTTCTAAACTCGGCTCGTTTACTAATGAGCCGAGCTTGAGCTTAGCCTTCTGCAGCTCATGGAGCTCGCGAGCTAGCTTTACTCGGTGGCTTGTTGAGCTCAACTCGTGAGCTGGCTCGTTAAGAGCTCATGAGATGTCTCAACTCTCAAGATTGTGGCTAGAGAGCCAACTCGATTACTGAGTTATGAGCGAATCGATCTATATGAGTTTGATTTTGATAATTCATAGGATTGTTAAAGTATATATCTCACTCTATATGAAGTTTAACACGTAGATTATGTGAGCAAATATGTTTTATTTAATTTTAAAAAGCAATTATGTATCATAGATTGCTTCGATATTGTGAAATAACATAATTTTCACCAATTAAAATTTATTAACTAAATAATTTGATACCACAAAGTATACCATAAAATTAGTTAATATTGAACACTCAACTATTATTATTATTTTCTTCATCTTGGCATTAATCACATGTATCATATATTACATACAAAATGAATATATCAAATATGAGTCAAGATTTTATTAAGAAAGCTAGCTCGCGACTCGACTCGGCTCGTTAATAAATGAGCCGAGCTCAAACTCGACTCATTTGTTAACGAGCCGAGCTCAAGCTGAGGAAAACTCGACTCAACTCGGCTCATTTGCAGCCCTAATTGCACCCGGTTCATGTTTATATATTAAAAAGGCAAATTACACTTGTGTAGCCAAAAACTTTGACGGTTTAGCCGAAAATAGCCATTTTTGACGAAATACCAAAAATAGCCAATTCTTTAACAGTGTTATCTAACCGTTTGACTATACTAACGAAAATTCTAACATGGCAAGTTTTTATTATAATTAATTACATTAAAAAAAGAAAAAATAAAAAAATCTCTCTGTCCTCCTTCTTTTACCCCTAGCCCCAAATCCCTTCCCATGTTGACCTCCCCACCCAATTCATGCCTTCCTTTCCCAGAAATTTAGTCGGCGCCCACCTCTCTTCCACCCAAACACTCCGGCGCCACTGTTTCTCTTCCTGTCTTCGAGCACATCAAATTCGTTAAACGAATCCCCGCCGAAAACTCTCGATCACCACCATTGCTCTCGCCAAAAAATCAATTCCAACTGTCCGCTCTCGCCGCAAAACTCACTTCCCCAATTCCTTCGAGTCTTCTCCTTCCTCTCGCCAGAAACAAGCAAATGAGCATCGATTTTTTATATCGCAAAAAAGCAAATGCATGTTCGCTCTTCTTTTATTTTCCTAGTTTTCAATGGAATTCAGACTTTAATTTGTTTGCTTTTCTGGGTTTTGGTCACGGACAAGACGAAGCAAAGAGGATGGCGCCGACGGTGAAGAGAAACGATTCCCAATTGGAGGTGGTCCGCTGCTAAACCCACTGGTCAACGATTCACGAGACAGAGATATGTTCCTTCTTGGATTGGTGACAACTCCCCTGAGTTTCAGGCGGCGAGAGGAAGAGCAGAGCAGAGCAGAGCAGATCTACTGATTTGGGGGCCTTGGTAGCAAGTCAAGAACGAGAAGGGAGTAGAGCAGACAAAGACGAAGGGTTGTCGAGAAAGATAGGGGAGCAGAGCATAGCCAATCTACTTACGGGTATTGGATGAGGAATGAGGATTAAGCTCGACTGCTGTAGGGTTAAGAGGGCGAAAATCCCTACTTTCGGATAAAGGGTACTGGAAAAGAGGGGGAGGGAGCAACAGAGGAGGAAGGGGAAGAATCGGCGGTATGGAAGGAATGGGAAAGGGCATCATCATCGAGTGGTGGGAGAGGACGAGAAAATAATTTATGATTTTTTTATTTATTTTTAAATTAAAATATGACATGGCATCCATGTGGGCATGTGGCAAGTGTTGTTGAATTGTCATTGATGTGTCTGGTGAGTTGGCAGCCAGTTATGGGTTCCATTAATTTGATTAACAGTGTCATTACCGCCAGCAAAATATGTAACGGAAATGACTATATTTGTCATGAAACTTTCAAAATTATGGCTATATTTGTTATTTTGTCAAAAGTGGCTATATTTGGCCAAACCGTCAAAGTTTTGGCTACACAGATGGATTTTGCCTATTAAAAATGTCATCATTGTAATTCAACCTTGATCACTTAAATAAATAAAGAGCATTGTAACCAACTAGGCTACATTTTATTTGATGATATTTCTATGATTAAACTCTAGAAATATGTTTGGTGATGATGCTTCTATATTTATATTTTATATTAAGTTATTTATATTTTATAGAAAGAGATTAGTTCTGAAATTGAAACTCAAGTAGTATTGATTCAAACATTAATATTAAATTGTATGTGTTGTTTAGTTTAGATAAAATACAGAAGTGTAACCAAAACATGGACCTTTGTGACGAGTATAATCATTTTTTGTGACAAATCTACACATAATATAATGATAAAATTTGAAAATGAGAGTCTCATTTCAAATTTCATGGCCTGAGAGTGATTGTAGAAAGCTTTTTTCTCTCATAGTGCCCAATTTATATTAATATTATGTATAGATTTGTGACAAAAAATGACTATATTTGTCACCAATCTCCATGTTTTGGCTAGACATATGTATTTTGTCTAAACTGAACCACACATATAATTTATTAGTTAATGTTTGATCAATGTTACTTGAGTTCCGATTTCACAATTAATCACTTTCTATGAGATATAATTATTTTAGGTTAAATACCTTTCCTACTTGATTGAAGAAGCTCTTTCTATAAGATATATTCAATGTTTTAAGATTTTCTATTTCAAATTTCGTGAAGCGAGAGTGAAAGTAGGAAGATTATTTTTGTTTCACAATTATTATCTACATCATACGCAAAAGTATGAATATTAAGATTTGAACTATGGTCTCTTCAAACAAAAACAATAATCATAACCAATTACACTATACAAATTTATTTTATCTTCTTAAATTGTAAACATGCACTAAGCGAAGATTTGAAATGCAGAGGGCTTTTCACAGTTAGCTAGCCTATTAAATCTTCTGAAAACCAAATTTTAATACGTGATTTATAATTTTTATAAACTATAAAATGACGGGTAATCTTAAAATTGCAACACAAATTTCATTGCTTGCAATATTGCATATCGAACTACAGTATTGAATTTGCAAAAGCGATATAGAAGTTTGTAAATTAATATAAATTTTTAGAATTAATACAAAACAATAAATATTTTGTACAAACTATAGGTGATTGGTTCTCTAAAATTTTAGCATGGTTAACTGGTAAACGTCAAACTCTTGCTAATTAGGCATGAATGGACTCGACAATAATCATACGATATTGAATTTAATGTGATGTTCATTTCATCAGTTTTGGATCGGATGTGTTGATCAATTTATAGGATATTAACATATAAATGAGTTATAATTAACCTCATTATATAATTTTTACTATTTATAATAATTAATTTAATCTTAATATTTGTGATGTTTGAAATATTTTATGTATTATTTAAAAGTATAATTATTATTTGTGACATCAGTTGTGGTTTATTCAAATGTAGAATTTCATCAGGTAGTCAAAATCGAATACTGGGTGCATTTATGACTGTTGATATCTTGGTGTAATAGGTAGAAACTTAAATATAATGCATATAACTATATCTAGGCACATGGTCGAGCTAGCACGATATAGTTAGAGCATACCATGAAAACAATGTATATGGATTGGCCATGTACAAGCATGAATGCTTCATGGGTCGTACCAGACTTCAACTTCAAGGGCTCGCGCACAAGTGCGAGCACCACACAGTCTTTATTGGTGAAATAATGTTTTATGGAGAAATGCACCATTTGATAAAAATAAAAATTCTAAAAATAACATATAAAATTTGAATTAATGAGTAGTTTCTCACATCAATGTGTGACGACTCATATTCTAAAAGTTTTATGAAATACATTCATTGTTTATTTTGAGACTCAAACCTTTTTCAATGTGTACAATTAAAAATTCATTTATAAAATCATTCTTGATTAACTTCATAGTTGAAAAGTAGTTTTTACAGCTTGCAGAAATAACAAACAACGTCAACAATAACTTTAGAAGCAAGTAAAGTGAAGAAGAAATTGAGATTTAGTATTTCTTTGCAAATGTGTGTGAGGGGGGAGATTTTTTTTTTTTGTCTAAAAAATCTGAGGAAGTATTGAAACTCATATATCATTTGTTTGAATATTGCATATTGAATTGGAGTATTAAACATTTTGGAAGCGATATATAATTCTTAAATTAGTATTAATTTTCAGCCCAGTTGACCAATAGTCTTAGACCTTTTGCTAATCTGACATGGATCCAATAATCATAAGATGGGATTTAGTTTGATATGGCGTCGGTTCAAAACCATTTTTTATGTGTAATGAATTTGTAAGACAAATATATGTAAAGTGAAGATGAACCTGATTATGCATTTTGATTCTTTAGATAAATACAATGTTTTAAGGCTTTAAGCGATGAACTAATTACACACCCACTCGATTGGTTTAACGATTATGCTTTTTATCACTTATAATAATTAGTTTATTCACAAGCTATCAAGCTACTTTACTCCGTCGATGAATAAACGACCATCTGTTTGCCAGGTTTCATGTGCTCTGATTCACATTATCGACTGTGAATAGAGAAGAAGCATTTCAAAAGTAAAATTTGAGAAGAAATTGGGATGTTTCTAGGTTTCTCTCGATTCCAGGCGGTAGGAAGAAAGAGGAAGGAAAAAGGGGGAGAGTGGTGAGATACAAAGCTGAGAGAGAGAGAGAGAGAGAGAGAGAGATGAAAGAACAAATGGAAAAACAAAGAGGAAGACAAAAAGAGAGTGAGATGCCACATTTAGAAGAGGAGAAAAATAAAGTATTGTGAAATAATAACCCTTCTGCTTTGATTAGTAGATATTCGTGGCCCTATTTAGTTGAATTTTGATTTTTTTAGGCGATGACATTATATTTTACATATTTTTTCCATTTCAATTTAAAATTCTAAATCAATATTATCATTTGGAAGATTTTTACCTCAATACGATTATTGTAATTTCTGAGATTTAATGTGTATTTGATAGTATCAATATTTTAGTGGGTTTTTATTTAAAGTTTGTATTGAAAGATCATACGTACCGACGGTTAGACCATAAAATTTCACATCATAGGCTAAATCGATAGGTGATATTTAGCAATATGAAACGGTTGAACCACAGTTAAATCATGACTTTAGTATAAAATACTCTACTACCAACTTTTTTGCTACGATTTTACAATCCTTTGGTTCAAACAACTCTTTTACACTGTGAAAACAAAAGCTTTAAGTCACATTTTGAACTATCTATTGCAAAAAAGCATAAGTCAGTTAATGAGAATATACGATCTCATGCAACCCAAAAGATAATTTGTCATTTCTATCTTTTTAAAATATATGTATGTGATAACGATGTAATTGCACCTATTTGCACCCCTAGTTCTTATCCGTTTGAGGGGCATAGTTGTGTATTTTTGGCCTATTTTACGCCGGGTTATGCTATTTTGTCATATTTCAGGTCCCAGGCGCCAAAGGAAAGGCTAAGCACGAGTTTCGGGGCATTCGGAAGTCATTCGGTGGAGCTGGAGCCAAAACACGGGCACACCTAAATCAGAATACGGCCGTGTTCTGAGACCGTGCTTTTACTGCCGAGAGCTGATTTGAGTTTGGCAAACACGAGCTGATTACACGGGCAGGGCTGAGACAAAGCACGGCCGTGTCCACAAAAGCACGGCCGTGTTCATCCAAAAGCACGGCCGTGTTTCTCCCAACAATCTGGCCGTGTAATTAAACCTTGCCAAATCACGGGCGGGCTGAAGCAAAGCACGGCCGTGCCCTCGACCGTGCTTTGCCCAGTGATGCCCTTTTAAGCAGATTTCAGCCAAAACAGAAGGGGATTCGAGTTTTGAGAGAGATAGAGCGATTCCTAGAGAGAGAAAGCGACGAACAAGAGTCTCCAAGTGCCTTAGCTTGATCTTCATCACCATTGGAGCTTGGCTTGAGCTTGGAGGAGTGCCAATCAACGTCCAGGAGCAGGAATCCATCCTTCACAGTATGAATTCCGCGTCTGATTCTGCTTTTGTTTCTTTCTCCATGGAGTAGTTCTCCCATTCATCTGGGCATGGAGAACCCTAGATTTGTATGTTAGGTTTGATTGTATGAACCCAAGTACTGATTCTATGAGTTGATTATATTCGATTGAGGCGTGAATGATTGAATGACTTGAATCCTGATCAAATTCCTGTTCTTTCTGCTTTAACCTAGAATGAGAATATCTGCCTAGGTTGATAGAGCATCCTTGATTGAAGGTAGGGAGTTGGTTACTTTAGTCGAGGAACCAACTCACTATTCTGTACCGAATTCAATTCGGTAGTGGAGGTTTTGTTGTTAGGGCCTCAATCTGTTTACTCCGGTGGAGGTTAGTCGCCCGCTAGAGACTCAGATTGAGAGGGTCTGAAGACCTTTAGTCGAGACTTCAGGCTATTTAAGAACCTTCCGCAGTATAACTATCATAGAAACTGAACTTGGTAATTGCAATCCGGCTTAACTGCAGTCTTTGGGGAACCATATCCGGGTGACCTCTCTTAACCTGAATACAACAGTTTACTTGCTTTGTTAGTTTGTTAGTTTAGACTTGCATTAAAGTTTCATTGCTAGATAACAAGAATTCACTGAGTAGTCATCAAATATAGGACCCGGGTTGACATTTAAACCTAAACCCGCTATACTACGCTTTAGGAAGTGGTTTCACTTGGCCAATTCCTGGAGTGACAGTAGAAGTGAGTCAGTATGCTACTCATACCCTCGCTCATTCATCAACTTAATAAGTAACATATATTTCATGTAATATTATTTTCATACGCTTTTAATTACTGAATTATTTCATGAAAAAATATTTGATGCATGAAAAGTACTACATTGTTGCTAGACATGTCTGCGATCTGACAATAATTTGGGTAGTCCGTACACAACACATTGTCCAACTAACTATTAGCGACAACTTCAGCATCATTACCAACGTTGTGGTAAAAAAGAATGCTCTCTATTGGGAAAAACTTATAGGACATACTAAACTCTATGAGACATTTTCTTTCATCATAAAGGTTGATTATGTATGTATTATGAGAAACAACTCTAATATTCAACTATATGGTTTAAATAAGTAACGAATGACAATTAGTTATATTTATT